GTTTAATGTAAATATCACCATGAGCTGCTTTCAATTCATGATCACCAAAACCACGAGTAACACCAATTGTTGCAGCAACACGACTCTTTAAAAAAATGAATAGATGTTAAAGTGAAAAATGGATTGAAAATTATTACTAGACTTACTCTTTTCCCTTCGCCATGAATCAAAGGAATCTTCAAATCTTCAGGTTTAACAGTTTTATAAGCCCTATTAATCAAGTGAAAAAATTAGAAACATATGATAGAATATCAATTACGTTTTCATGATTAGTATGACTATTGATTCTTACCATCCAGACATGTATGCATCTCTGTACAACAACTCTTTACCAAGATCTTTTCTGAGAGGACGTCTTATAAACTCTAAATGAGTAAAATCATTGCCTAAAAAGTCAGGACGCAACAAACCCTAATGAATAAACCAAGATAAAAAAGATACATTGTAAATAATGAAAGATACTTGTGTAAAATTATATTTACCAAATACTTGACCCTTGTTCTTTCCGATGCTGGAGTGAAGTCAAAAGACATTGGTATTACTTCCCCATTTTTATGAACTATAGCACTGTAAAAAGATAAACAAGTTATAGAGAGTTAAAAATTGTGAGACTTTCAGCTTGAAAGCAATTTATTATAGTTTTTATCGGTGTAGAGTCTTTTCGCAAATTGAGAGCTTTCAAATCCATTCGCAGTAACTTGCTAATTTTGGGAAAAAGGATTAGGATTAACACAAATCAGGGAAAGGTTCAGTAAATGCTTTTGTTGTTTCCGAAAACACCTTGCGATCACATTGATTATTTGAAATATATAAGCAGGAAAAATTTGAATTCAATTCATTCATCTATTTCTTAGCATGATGGAAGTTTTACAATCCCAAAGAGGTGGCAAGTTACTTGTTTTCAATGAATTTCTGTTGAATTACAAAAATAAGAATAGTGATGTGATCTATTGGAATTGTTCTGAGTCTCAATGTGCTGTATCAGTTCATTCTGATTATACTTATAATTTGCTCAGGAGTAATAATGATCATAATCATGGTGTTCATTGTCAAAAAATTGAAAAAATAAGGTTGAAAAATCAAATTTTGGTTATTGGTTTTAAAGCTTTAGACTTTCATGCTTAACAACTAATTGTTAAACCATGTTTTTGCTCACTGTTTTGCAGATAGGATTTGCGAAAAGACTCCAAACCTTTTTATCATATGCTTGAATCGACTTACCGACTGTCACCGGCGTTGGCAACATAAAGTTTACCGAGAATAAAAAGAGACACCAAAGCTGTACAACCTCCTCGCATATAATAATTAATTTTATCTCTTTCAATCTCTTGGTCCTTATAAAAAAAATGAAAGCAATAAAACGAATTATCATGAGATAAAT